ATTATTATTATTATTATTATTATTATTATTATTATTATTACACAAATATGTTTTGGTTTCACGTCTAAAACCTTTTGCATTTTACAGTGTCACTCCATATCAGCTAATGACTTACAAAAATGGAGTTGTTGCCAAAGGCCAACTGAGTGCCTTCTGTCTGAGGAGGAGCTCATGACTAATTAAGAACAGATGAATCGATTGGACAGTACACCCGCTGTCAGAACACCAGCAACAACCAAAGGGGAAGATTTGAAAATGAACACACAAATGACAGAATCTCATGCCCAGGTCTAGTGGACTCACTGGACATAATGACTGCTGCTGATCCATATTGCTGTCACACTGTTCCATATTTCACAAGCACTGAATCAGATGCATCATGATGTGGATCTCATTTCAATGTTTTAAAAACATTCAATAGCTCAGGACTATGCACATGTATGGTGTGTGTACCAGGCTAGTTTATCTGTATACCCAATACACATACTGTACTGTACTACGAATACAAATGCTCATGTATCATTAATATTCAGGAAAGTATTTTGCAGAAATTAACTTTAATTTGCAAATATTGCCCACAATTGCTGATTTTGATGGCCTCGGCGTTCAGAACGTAAAACAAATGTCACTTCGGCTAAAGTGTAAATAACCATTTCCTGAAAAGAAAGGAACAGTGGGTGACTCTGAACAAACAGGTTCATCTGAAGAACATTTGCAGGAATGTTTCTGAAATGTCTGTACTAATGGGCTCTCCTCATTATTCCTTTCGCTCTCCAGCTCCAAATCCTGCATATCGCAAGACTTCCGTTAGGTTCTGTCATTGTAATCCTGCAGAGTGAATTCACCCTGCTTCCCTCACTCTGCAGACTGTGTGAGATTCTGTTACATATTATGCATATTATGGATACAGCAAATTCCCACTAATTGGGGGACTCATCTATCTATAAAATAAATTGAAGTAGCAGGAACGGAGCAAAAGTTTACCCTGGTTTAGACATTATTGTACATTTTTTTTTGTTAGATGCCTGAGTCTTGGTTACTACTGTATATTATTATAATACTGTAATTCAGCCAGCAGTCATATCACCCTGCCACTCACAACTGACAAGCCACTGAAGCTCAGCAGGTGTGAGCCTGGTCAGTATGGTCCTGGATGTGTGGTGATGTGTGGTGAGCATACTGGCGCACTGTAGCTGCTGTTGCATCATCCAGGTGGGGCTGCACACTGGTGGTGGTGGAGGGGAGTCTGTGTCTAGAAAATGCTATTTAGGTGTAAGGAAATATTATTATTAATAATAATATTATCATCATCTTATCAGTTGTTTCTCTTCTGAAATAGCTGAGAGTCCAGCTTTTCACGTTACAAAAACAAAAATGCCATCAAATGTCTAAAGAAATCTCCCCTCCAAAATCAAATTGGTTTGAATCGTATTGGCTGCCTAATTGGGTTTGCTGTTTAAATGCAATTATCTTCATCTCTTCTCACTGTTCACTGAAATGAATGGCAGGTCAGATTTGCTTCTCTGCCTTCCATTTTCAGCTCTGTTATGCCAAAAGCTACTCCAGTTTGTTGGTTTTTGTTTGTGGTTATTGTTGTACACAACATAACCAGGCTCTATCACAGCAGGAGGCAGACAGTTTGCAGACAGTGGGTTTTTACTCCTTATTAAACGAATGGATTGGAAAGTCTTTTAACTGGACCCAAGAGTATGGAAAATGCTGTTGAGCTCTGTGTGAAAACACTTAGAGAGTGCCCATTGATCCGCTGGCGTAAATCTATATGGAGTATTGATGAAATACTTCCAAAATCCCCTAAGGCACAATATTTCAATACCCTTTGCCTCTGCGCTTATTAGAACTTGATATCTTGAGAGGTGGCAGAGGTTAATCAATAGGTTCCTCTGCCAAGCTGAGGCCTTCAGAGATAATGTAATCACACGACAGACGAAGCACTTCCCCTTCATAGCCATTGGCCCTGGGCCGTACCGTGCTGCCGCAGAGCCTGGAGACGAGGGCTGCGCGAGTGGAAGCAGGAATAGGGAGCTAGAACTTCCCATGTTTCTGTTCCCGCTTCCAGATCTGCAGCCTGATGAGGGGGGGCATCGCGGAGCGAGGAGGGGTTCGAGTGGGGCACCGCATCATCGAGATCAACGGGCAGAGCGTGGTGGCCACCGCGCACGAGAAGATCGTCCAGGCCCTGTCCAACTCCGTGGGCGAGGTGGGGACCGCCGGGCGGGAGCTGATCCGCCCCCGCGTGGAGGCTGTAGACCTCAAAGACGAGTTCAGAAATGGTTTCGCGCTTAGTGTGCCTTCCGACTGCTGTTTAATTCAGCTTTGATCGATCTGAAGAAGAAGACAAGAGATCGGTGCTTTTTCTCAAGCAGGTTTTATTTTGAGGAGGAACCACTTGGGATCCTTTGACTCCCATCTTGTGACTGAGAGCTTGATCCACAGTAGGTGTAAGGCAGCCATATGCCGAAATGTGTCCAAATATGACAGAATGCATTAAACTTTGATAGAAGCCTGGTCAGATCGTGGATCAGAATTAGTATTTTATCCCGTCATTGCATTCCCTCTTGAGATGGGACAGAATTTGTCACGAGTCCTACTACACATCCTGTGACTGAGCTTCTTTTAGAAGTTGGGGTTATTTTTCTTTTTCCAGCCCTACTATTTTGAAATTTTCCAAGGTAAATGAGAAAGGACTTCCCACACGGGCAGTCGGTAAGGCCTGTGTTGTGTAAAAGAAAACGTGTATTTGCGAACCGAGATGTACAGTAAACGAGGCAGGGCCCCTTTTTCATCTGAAAGCTCTCACTATCAAAATGAGTAAAACTCAGTGTTGCAACCCAGTCCATCAGAGAGAATGCTGTGCACAGCCTGTCCTTCATGCAGCTTCATGCCGTCAGAGCTTCATCTTGGGTTTGGTAAATGTGCAGTTTCCAAGTTTATTTTTGTCATTTTTCAAGCCCCACAGGCACCTACTGGGTATTCAGTGTTAGAAAGAGCTGACGCGTCTTGCTCGATACCACCACCAGAGGGCACCACTGTGCGACAAGCTAAGTCAATCCCGCGCAGTCCCGGTGGCTGTACAGGAACCACGCTACTGTAACTGCACAGCAGCCCTCTTTTTTTAGTTTTTAATTACCTGTAGTTTGGATTGGTAAAACTGAAAAACCGACTGCTGTAGTACTTTATGTAGGTGCAAAACATCCACTTTTACACAGATTGTCTCCTGTAATATTGACTCTGTAGCCCTGAAGAAGAGCATTTTAAGGAGTCAGGTGGCAGTGATACTTGGAAACACTTTTGTCAAGTACTTGGCACGAACCCATTCTGCTCAGTAGCTCTTAGAATCATCGTTGGTGGTGTTGTAATTGCAACGCGTATTACCAGGATAATCAGCACAGTAAAGTCAAACCTTGGAGGTGATTGATAGGCCTTCTGCAAATCCAGAATCTCCCTGGGCTTGGGAAGAGACTGGTGGCTCTGTTTAAATTGTTTAGTGTTAGCTAGAGGGTTTTGCTGTTTCGTAGACAAATAACACTTAATTGAATTATCCTTTTGTTAACTCTCCAGTTAGGACTCTGAAATTGCAATAACCCGCGATTTGAACGAATGCCAGGAAATGTTGCAGAAGACCGTGTCAAATTGTTCACTATGAACGAGTCTTGTCATACCACACTCAGCCACCAGGTGTCATGCGTGCTGCAGGACCTCTACAATCAGAAACTGAAACGGCAACAAAATACATAGTTGTAGAATTCAAGCTTAAATATGTGTTCGTGTAATACCATTTTTATTTCTGTTTTTTTACCATGAATAAGGCTTCCTCTCAGGAAGACTGATATCCGGGCGGAGAATGATGATATCCTCTTCTGTTCCTTCACTCATAGGAATAAGATAGGGAAAAGGGAAACTCTTATCACAGTGTACCTAGCTGTGAAGGCTTTTAATTTAAGATAATATTACAAAAAAAAAACCAAAAGATACCTCCAGTGTATAGCATATGAAGAATTGCTGTAGCAATTGATCTCTATTTCAAAAGTGCCCCTTCAATGCCAGTGGCCTGGATAGGATATTAGTGGGACCAGCAGGGGGCACTCACCCTGTGATATATGTGGGTCCTAATGCCCCAGTATAGTGTTGGGGACACTATACTGTAAAAAGGCACTGTCTTTAAAAATCACAGGGTGTTTATTGAAAAGAGTAGGGTCTTTATTGAAAAGAGTAGGGGTTATTTGGCATCCTGGCCAAATTTCCCATTGACCTTTACCAATCATGGCCTCCTAATAATCCCCATCGATGAATTGGCTTCATCTCTTTGCTCTCCTCCCCACTGATAGCTGTTATGTGGTGAGGTGGGGGCTGCAAACTGGGGTGGTGGAGGGGAGTCCCCATTACCTGTAAAGCTCTTTGAGTGGAGTGATCAGAAAGGCACTATATAAGTGTAAGCAATTATTATTAATAGGTTTTGATATTAATATTGCAGAGCCAGGGTAGCTGCTAGCTGTTGTACTTTTTGTCTCCTCAGATCCACATGAAGACGATGCCAGCGGCGATGTTCAGACTCTTAACTGGCCAGGAGACTCCCATGTACATCTAAAAGGAAGGCAGAGACTCTTTCACAAGAATCGGTACAGAGGCCGTGTTCGGGCCAGCCTCGGAGAGCCGGGAGAGCGATAAGTAACCAGAACGCTACAGCCTCCTGCCTTCAACTAATACACTTTCTAGCCTTGTGGGCTCCAGGAGGGCATATCACTCGCTACCCTTGTTTAGGCACTAACTCCTTAAAAACATCTCAGTATTTTACAAACCTAACTTTTAACTACAACGCTCATCAGTGCTGTGACCTGGCTGTTGTTTGTGCTGTCTGTGTTTCGGATGTGCGTTTACATGGAGCAGGCGTGTGAGTGGGTTGGTTTATTTTTTTACGTGCATATAAATGTTTACACGGTACTGTATGTACGTTTTTTTAATACATATATATGTACATAATTTTTGCATTAGTGATAGTGGGATTCATCAAGAAGGCAGGTGCGTCCTGTAAATACTGACTGATTACCAGCAGGTTTTAACCCAGGGAATGTAAAAGCCAATTTATTTGACCTCCCATTGTGGAAGTGGGAGAGATCTAAAGACACTGAAGCCTAAACTGTCTCCTGTTCTCAAATCTTCAGCTCAGCTTCTCCCTTAAGAATCCCACAGTAAGAGTCTGTACATGCTCAGTGTAGCAGTAGTGAGCTTCGGCACTATGAAATAATTGCTGTTCATCTGAAACGTGGCTGTATGGAGGTAAAGTTAACATGATGTGTCTGCATGTGCCTTCATTTATAGTCAACAAGGAAAGGTCTAAATTTAAAGGGCAGCACAGTTGTTACTCACAGATTGGCTCTGCTGTAGTTTGGATTTTTGTCTGCAGAAATAAAAGAATCAGTGCAGTCCTAAGGGATTGACTTCTTCTGCCCATGTCCTGCAGTTTTAGGATCTATTTAATTGTCCCTAAAATCAGGATATGAAGGCATAGCATCAATGACTTTTTTAAGTTCTCTTTTAAACTGACAACCTTGCAGTTCTGTACTATAATCTTTTTCAAATGAACTGTAACAGCTGGGACAGTGCCACACATACCAGACAGGGTAAGAAAGGTAGCGTCCCAAACTTTTTTTTTTAAAATACACTTGTAAAGAGTGAAGTGCCACTCGTGGCGGAACCTTAAACCAAAATTGATGTAAAAAAGCTTAGTTTCAGTGAATAAAGACATGACACTTACTGTGTTTTGTAAAATGTATGACTTCAGCTCCCTGTTTTCACGTTTCCTACTGAGAAACTGGAGGTTTTGTTTGAGTGGTGTTGTGAATGTAGTGTGTCCTAGAGCTGTATCCATAACCATCAGCAGTATTGGAATGTTTGTACATAATGCATACTGTTAAGTATTGTGCCCACTAGGGGATATCTGGTAGTCATGCTAAAACATTTTTGTTTTTTCCTTCATGTTGGGCCACACCCCTTTGGAAAAAAAAAATAAACACACTGTGACTGAAGAAGCCTTACCACTGAGTAATGCTTTAAAAATTTACTGTACTAAAAATAAAAATAAAAACTACCTGTTGCATGCCAATAGAGTCCAGTCATTCTGGGGGAAAATAACAAACCCGTTAAGCACCATGGCTCTTGTTTTCAGCTACACAGTGGTCATTCAAGTTGCGTGCATGGAGGCTGTAGCTCTTGTAAGTCCTGCAAAGGGCCAGAAACATGCAATTGTGTGGCTTCCTACTGTAAAACTTGTTTTCCAGACAAATGCATAATTCTGTTTTCCAACTCTGGAGCAGATGTGCCCCTCGATGGGTATGATTTTAACTGCTACGCAGGGATTTGGGGAGGTTAAGGGTCACTTTTCACTCAACTCACTATTTGTACATTATTATGGGAACCCAGAGAATATTATGCACAATGTACAGTATGTGGTTGTCTTGGAAAAGCTGTAAGTGCAAAAACACCACCAAGGGGGGGAAAACAAATATTTCACAAGCTGTATCATTCCTTCAGGATTCCTGCTTCAGCTAGAAAAAAAACGAAGAAAGGCATCTTACTCACAATCACATGACCCCCCCGTGATTAAAAATTCATCCTTGTTTTATTGTAACACTGATCAGAATTGAAACACACTGAGGTAAGTTAAATAACCCAACTTTTTAAGTTGTAGACATTTTCTGCCCGTTGGCTTGTTCTGGTGTCCTCTGATTCTTACAGCACAGAGAGAGCAGTTTCCGGCACAAATGAGCCACAGCTGCACAAACTCGGGCAGATTCACAGTTTTGTAGAAATTCATCTTTTTTTTTTTTTAAGACATCCCTTCGCCTTGACCGAACAGTTAACAGTTAGAACTGGATTCGATTTTAAGCACGTCTTACATACTGTATGAAAAGAGCCCCTGAAGGAAGACATTCATACTTGTCCTCTGTGGTCTGTCTCTTGGTGTCTGCGCTTTTCCTTGTCAGAGGGGGGGTCCCTCCCCCCCCCGCCTTGCTTGGCACGTTGTCTGGAAGGCAGTGTGGGGTGGGTGCGCGCTGGTGTCAGAGGATGGTCTCCCGGGACACCCCGATCAGGCTGTGAGGGCGCTCCTGCAGCGAGGCGCTCGGCGCCCGGGACCGGCGCAGCGAGGAGGAGGGTGAGCTCAGCGCGCCACAGCTCTGCAGGTGCAGGTCCTCCTGGAGCCTCTTCCGCGGGCGCCGCAGGGCCTGCTGGGACTTGGTCATCACCTGGGAGGGCGGACAACCGACAGCGGGCGCAAGTCAGCCCTCTCCACGCAGGCTGGTCCTTTGCGGGCAGGCTCTGACGCGGGGGTTTTCAGCCCTTCTCCAGCTCACCTACCCTGCCGATTCCTGTTCCAGCTCCATTCTTAATGGGCCTGAACCCTTAACTGGGCTTGAATCTGAACCCCAGCTTTGTGTTTTTACGCTCCTGCTGGGGGTTGTCTTTTATCTATTGCATTTCTATGTAACTTAAAATCTCCACCTTTTAAACTGAAAGAAAAGCTTCCAAAGGCTGCAGCCAAGACGCTTGCTGGCTCAGTTCAGGAACTGGTTCAGCTGGAGCGAAGTCTCGCACGCCTGCTTCGGGACTGAGAACACCTGCTCTAAATTAGAGCGAGGGCCTCCAAAGAACTGCTTGCAAAACTGAATCTCTAAACTTTCTATACCACAGAAATTCAAAAGTTAAATCATCTCCATATTTATGAGAAACGCAGATGGAAAATTTACCAAACAAATTGCATTTACATAACTGCTTATAAAAATGTGCACTTTCATAGCTAATGATAAGCTGAAAAGGTTGTACTAATGAAATTCTGTACTAGGGGACAGTGCTTGAGGATGTGAAGTTTTCAATAAATATTTAAATACATCTATGAACAGTTTATCACCTTTCCTTAGTTTTGGTGCTGGACCTACTGTATAAAAGACCTGTTCCAGTACTGGACTGGAGTTGTATACCCCTATGGAAGAAAACACTCAGCTTTACCTTTTCAGGTGGATTGTTCAATTCCATGTTTTGGTGATGTGCCCTCAAAGCACTTACAATACCTTTACAGAAATGTAAAAACTCTCCTTTACTGCTGTCTCTCATCTGGACATCTGGAACTGTACTACTCTGCTTTTAAACTGATTAAACATTTAATTAGCATGAAGAGGCCAGATGCCAGGATTTTAAAAAGGATCAGGTGAAATGTAATACAGAGTGTACCGTCGAAGCGAGAGTAGGGGTTGGGGGGGGTTGATAAATATTGTCATGGAGAAACTAGGCTTCGTCTGTAACTTTGTGATACAGCATGGAAGGACAGCTTCAGTTTTCAGGAACTGGGGAACCAGGGGTCCCTGTTACCACCGGCTGCAGCATGGCTGGATGGTTTGTTCCCAGCTCCCACCCCCCTTTGTAAAGAAGAGTCTCCTTTTCCTAATTGTAAACGCACTTCCCTGTCGCTTCTCGGGCAGTCCAGTGGGACGACTGTTGTCGTGCCTTTGATGATTTTATTTTTTTTAGCTATTCTCTTTGCTCAAGACTGAAAATATTTTTTTTAAGTTTTTTGAAGGGCTGTGGGAGTGGGGCACTCTTAAACGCCGGAAGATATCTGGTCATGTGTATGTGGACTGATTCCAGGGCAGCCATGTCTTTTTTTCTAATGCAGTGACCAAAACTGTACACAAATATCCCAAACTAAACCCATCTGGTGCATCATTGCAGTGTCTACCTTTTTAAAACTTCCCTGCATTGGCTAGAAGATGAAAATGATGTCGACATAGACAACTCAATCTTTTCATTGGATATGTTCTTCACACACATTTTTCCCCTTCATTATAATATTTTTATACACCATATTCTGTAACATATATTACATTTTCTGCTAGCTGCATATAACATAACACTTTATACTTAGCTAGTACAGAAATGAAGCTTTATTAGTATAAGTTTAATGAGCATATGCTAGCCTGTTGCTGTAAATTAGGGAGAGCCGTGGGTCCCAATACAGATCCCTGTGGAACCGGACTATTTGCTGCATATGACCAGTCTTTTCTTTATCCGTACTCTGTTCAATACCGGGTTCTGTCCAGTAACTTTTACTCAGTCCAAACAAAAGTGTTCTTCCTATCTGAATACAAACGAATACTCTCTGTCTCTCAAGGGCAGAGGCTACTGATCCTGTAGAATTAGTGGTGACGCAGGCTAATGGCGTAGGTCTCAGGCTTGCATGCAGTCCCATCACCTACCTGATCGATGACGCTGGCACTGAAGATGGCCTCCTCCATGTGCCGCTCATCAGACTTGATGACGTACTTGATGCTGCTGACCACATGTTGCACCTCTGGAGGTAGATTGCAGCTGGAGTGCTCCAGGAATTTGGCCACCAGTATTTTGGTGTCTTTGTAAGTCTTAAGGTCCACCAAGGAGTGAGGCCGCTCTTTGGAAACAGCCTGCAGGGCTCTGGGTTTCAGCCTGATGTCCACTTTGCTGCGGTCCCTTGGCCTTCCAGACTGAGGCATGTGTCTGACCGAGCCTTGGTATGACACCACAACTTCAGTGTGTTCTGGGAAGGCAGCTGAAAATAGTCAAGATTAACGATATTAATATTTCAAATAATTAATGTTCTACAATTTTGTGATAAGTTCTGTATAAGACTTTCGATCCCATCAAGGATCATACTGTAAACTACAGAAGTTAAAAGCTTTTACTGCTGTTTTACAGTTTAGGTTGACAATCACTGCCTATTTATGTTTCTGGGAGGTGACATGATTTCTTCATCAATTTATTAAAAGGACAGTGGGATTACCCTTTTCAACCAGATTTAATAACAGTATAATGTGATTTATGTGAAAGGTCTGCACCCCTATTTTATTAAATAGATTGAGATCAGGTTTAAAATCAGTGATGTCCATAAGAAGATGAAGTGGTTGAGTTAATGAAAAAGGTACTAATTCTTTAACTGTGCAACCACCCATCCCTACTCTATTACAGTGTTCTATTTTTATTATATTCTATAATTAAATGACAGTATTCTATGTTGTTTTCTATGTGAATTGTCCCCCATCTGTAATGCAAGGTGTACCAGGAATACCAGGAAATAACATTATGACATCAGAAATGTTACAAACTAGAGGCCATTTGGACCATGTAGTTTGTTTGGTTGCCATCTTGTCTAATAATCTCATTGAGCTGCATCTTATTCTGAAAGAGCAAGTATCAGATGCAACAACGTGGCTGGGTAGCTTTCTCCATACTCCCACAACCATTTGTGTATAAAGAAAAAACGCCTCCTGTTGTCAGTTTTGAAAAAACACTTCCACATTGTTTCCAGCCCTCTAGTGTGTACTTCACTGTTCATTTCAAGAGGTCATCTGGGGTGAATTTGTCAGTGTCTTTGAGGATCCTGAAAACTTCAGTCCTGTCCTCTCATAGTCTGTTCTGTTCAAGACTAAGAAAATTCAGTAATTTTAGCCTTGAACTAGCAAGAGAGAACATGGTACTGTATATTTATCAGATCAGACTAAATGTCTCAGTACAAACTGTGCAAATAAACACTCATCTGTGACCCTGTCGATGTTCTTTGCTTCTTAGTATTCCCACAGACCCAGAAAAAAATATTTAAATAAAAGACATCCAGTTTACAGTGATGTCCATAAGAAGATGTAGTGATTTCCCATGAGCAGAACAGCTCATTCCAGTTCATTAAAAACGCCTCCACAGCAATCAGGCTCTGGTGTGAAGTAATTAATATGGGTCAGATATTTCTATGTCTAATATTGCCCTTTTGTAATATACTGGGGTTTAGCCTCACCTCTGGGAACTAATGAAAAGAGCACTCTTCTTGATCAAAGTCTTAGTTGAAGAAACATTCAAATGTTATTATAAAAATAAAACAATTATTTTATGATAAAATGTTTTTGATACTATGAAATTTCTACCTATGGGTAGAAAGAATCCTAAAAATGTTCTGCATGTAAGTTTAATCAGGTTAGTTGTAGGTAATACTGGTCCCGAAGTACAAGGCTAACCAAGCATTCACTCTGTGTATAGCAGGAAATGTTGAAATTTAGGCCAACTTCCTTTCCATTTAAATTATGTAAATGCTATTATTTTTTCCATTTCAATATAGCAGTGCTGACACTGATTTAAATGATTGCAACATTACTTTGAGCTGTAAAGGAAAACAACAGCAGCTTGATGATGGAATAATTAAGCCTGTGCCTCCTGCATAAGGAGACAACATGCAAGCGTGCTCTGTGGTCTTCCTGAGTCTGAGAGGCACAGTAAACAGAACTAATGAGTACCTGGCTCAGGTGAGGTCTGGGGGGAGTCGTCAGGATTATAGGCAGCTGAGCAGCCACAGCTGTCACCTACGGATGGAAGACGTTGCAATTAATAAAAATTCAGAATGGGACCTGTCCTTATCGCTTTATGGTTCAGTTCCTTAGGTTAGACAAAGGAGCGAGTGAACAAGCTGAATCCTCCTGGTACACGTTTAAAAATATGTGGGTGAAACATGCTGAATGACTGAAATGTGACGACTCAATAGAATGTTACCTTGGTTTCATATCTAGTCAATAAATGAAGACAAATGGTGTATTACTTCATGCAATATTATAAATAAGGAATAAGGAATTATAAGGAACTGCGGTTTTCCGTATTCAACGAGGGAAGGCTCAAGTCAACTCCTCGGGAGTAACAGGAATGCACCGGTTGCCACTGTACCCCCAATTTTAAATATTGAATCAAACTAATTAAACTAATTACTTACATAAGAAGCCCCTGTTTTGTTTTTTTGAAGCGGGTGGGGGTGGGTGATTGAGAAATGTTAACCGAGAAACGGGCAAAATAGGTAGCCCTCACGGACTCGACCTGCTCATCCCGGTGTCAAACCCGTAAACCAGACGGCTGAAACGAAACGGCGGAGAGAAAAGGCAATTACTTCCGGAGAGGGATGTGCAGGAGACGGGGTCGCTGGTGGAGCGGGCGATCCTGGAGAGCCGGTACCTCTTGGCGTGTCTCGGCGGCCGGGGCTTGTCCAGGCCGGCCGCGTGGGAGGTGCCCGAGCTGGACTGGGGCTGCGAGACCGAGGAGGAGGAGGAGGGGGACCACACGCTGAAGCACAGCTTCTTCTGCCGGGGCGGCGGGGAGGGCGAGGAGGCAGCCGCCGTCTCCCGCCTGGGGGCCCCGGCCTCCCCCTCCAGCCCGCTGTTGTTCTCGGAGGACCAGTCCGGCGAGCGGTCCCGTGCGCGGCACCTGTCCGGGGAGGAGCTCCGGGACCGGCTCCGCGGGGGGCGGGGGTTGCCGCGCGCGCTGTGCTCCAGGCTGGTGCAGCTGCCGTGTGTGGCGGCCGTGCGGATGGTGCTGTAGGGGGAGAAGTCGGCCGACCGCAGGGAGCCCTGCACTTCCAGGGAGCACAGGTCCTCCGAAGAGCAGCTGTGGTCCGGGATATCGGCCACCTCAGACACCATCAGGGACGCGCTGTCCACCGAAGCTGCAGGACAACCAGCGTTCACTGCACTGCACTGCATTCCCCTGGCCGTCTTTATTCAAACCAATCAGAGCCAATTAACTCAATTAAAGGCCAATTAGTTTCCCACTCAGTGACTTAAGTAAAGGGCTGATTAAAGCCCTGCAGTGATGGTATTTAATGCCCAGGCTGGCCGACTCAAGTGACAGGATGACAGAACGATTTGTTTTCTAATATCCACACCTTCATATAATCATACGCATCTCCGATATTCAGAGCATGCAACTGCTATGTATTTGTATTCTCATTTTTTTTCAGTTCAATATCCATGGGTGAAGGAAGATCCATTTATCAGACAAAGTTCAAGAGAACCCCTGTACACTGCTTGCTTCCAATGGCATTTAATTTCACATTTTAATGTGCTGTCATTTAAAATAACAGAGTTAACTAACATAACACTTCATTTAAAAATAGCTGGCTTGCGTTATTAGCTTCGTCACCCTAACTACAAATACTAAACCTGCCAACTGTGAGGACTTCCATGGCTCCAGTGTACTTATTCCTCACCTTGTGTGCTGAAGCCAGCGGTGGTGTTTCTCTCACACAGGCTGGATTCGGTGGCCTGCTGCTCCAGACTGGTGGTCCCCTTCACAGAGACAGAACAAAACCCGCAGTGAGAATCCTGTGGTCATGGTTTTGCTGTCGCTGCTTGCCGTAGGACACCAGACAATAGCCCTGCAGCTGGGAAACGTGCTGCTGCTTTGATGCTAGCACTGCCTGAGCAGGCAACAGGCGGCGTGGCAGTGTGGACACTTTCGAAACCTCAGCTGTAACAAATATCTGCTTCGTTACTGTCCTGCATTAGGAGGGCGATGTGGGGCAGCAATGACACCAGCAGCAGGGTAAAGCATATCTGAGTGTGGGATTATATCATGCATGTTTAATCAACTCGTGCATGCTCTTCTGGAAGGCAGACTCATTCCCTAACTGTTCAGGACAGCCATCGGTCATTTCCTTCATCTGCCATATGGATGGTGCGATGATGTAAAATTACTCAAACCCTTTCATTTGGCGAGCGTGAACTTACAGCTTGAAGCCGTTTTGTTGGCAGGGTGCCATGCGATAAAAATAAGCATTACAAGCCACTGTTCTCTGTACTGATTGCAATAATAATTCCCTCTCGTCACACTCCTCAAGCACAGAAGCACAGATGAAGACAAATCAGTGCTCTGTGCCCGGGGTATTGATTGGGGGGGGTGCGATTATGCTATCCATCTTAAATCAGCCCTTGTGCATGTTATTCTGCAAAGCAGACGCATGAATCTTTTAAGACTGGTAGACTGCTTTTTCAATACTGTATGCAGAGCATCATGATGAGAAGTCTGCCTGTTCAAACTTTAAATGAAGCACAGCGCAATTAGTCCTCTAAACAAGGGCTCTTTCTTCAATTAAATGCGTTAACACTGCTTTCTTCTAAAAAACGTTTTTCCTTAGCAGACTCTCTCTTAAACTCCCAAATTCCTAAGCACCTTGAATCACTTTTTTACTTCATATCAAGTTCCCGTTCCTTGGGCCTACCGCAATTCTGAACAATGATAGAGGTCATGGCTAAAAATCATCTGATTCCTTCCACCTGCGCCCGGTCAAGCAGGCTGACAGGGCGAGAGAAACACCCCTGTCTGGGGTGAAGCTGGCCTGCCTGTCATCAGAGTGCTGGTATGAATGTGACGCTCTGTCCCGCAGCGAGGGATTAAGTCCTGTAGGAAAGCGCGGGTCCAGGATTGAATTTTCTTTTTTGTGAGGGTGAACGAAAACGCCAAAAGGCAATACTTTGGAGTTCAGAAGGCCGGGTAATTGAATTTATAAAGAGCTGCACTTCACAAAAAATGTCTTTTGAAAAAGAGATCCTGCAATAGCACATGACAGCAAAAATCTGCTATAAAAGGTAAGAGTATAAAAAACTTTTGTAAGCTGAGGGTTTAATGTAAGCAGCCTTGCATGTTTTTATTCTTCGTCCAATTAATTTTCTCATGGGTTTGGACACAGCCCACAGGTGTTAGAAGCATAATTTAAATGCCATAAGAATCAAAGGTAATTAAGTGAATACATACAAAATTTGCTAATAGAAATCCAAAATTTCCACAGGGTAAAAAAACAGTGGAAAAATGCTTCTTCGATAATGATGCCAGCTCAGTATCACATTCTGCCATTAGGACCGTTGTTCATACTTAAAAGCAGCTGCTTTCAGCTGAGCAATGGTCTCTTGCTGAAATCTGAATCTGTCTAGCTTCTCGAATTTATTACCAAACGCAGAAGTGAAGAGTCACTTGTGGATAATATGTCACTCTCACTTATTACCGCATGTTATTAAAGGCCGCAGTCCTTCAGAGCAGCAATCAGTAATTCACTTTCAGCCCTGATCCCTGACGAAATTAAAAGATCAAAGACTCGACACAGGAGCTCTCCCTCCTCATGCAAAATGCTAAGGCGTTGCTGCTCAGCGCATCTGGAACTGCGTGCCCCTCCCTTGCTCCTGTCAGGCAGCTTCTGTAATCTCCCAAACGCGGCTCTGTTTGCACATTTCATCTTGTAAACTCCGACCTGCGGAGCTCTCACGCAGAGGAACATGCTTTTATAATGAGCGGAACATTCCAAACTCCATTCCAAACCTGCTGCTCTGCGGGCTCTCGGGGCTGAAGGCGCTTGGACCGCTGCCACGCCAGGTGACTCTGACGCAGGGGACGAGCGCTGCCCGCTTCGTCCAGCGCAGGCCAAGGGTGTCTAGACAGCTTTCTTGTGTCAGCAGATCGAACTGATTTCGTTTTGGCGACAGAGTCAGCATTCCACTGGGGTGAAGGGTGTTTGTTTTTTTTCTTATAAAGAAGGACTGACGGGTTGGCCCCGAGTTAGATCAAGTGTTCCCGTATCAAATGGTACACTGTACCAGAGCTGCGTTACCGAAGACTGCATTAAGGTCAAACTGGACCACGTTATTGGGCTGGCTGGGGAGCATAAAAAAACTAAGTTTATGGTTTGCCATAATGTAACAATATAAAGACAATTAAACCATGGTGTTCTGATAGTTTCCAAAATTGAATTTCATCAGGGGCATGCCGATGGCCAGACCTCAGAATAAAGAGAAGGGTCCGTGCGGCATAACAGAAATTTCAGTGAAAGGCCACTAAAACAGTACAGACAACTAGAAATATCTAGCAAAAATAAATATCTGTGCCTTGTAGCACTGGTACACTTCAGCTCTTTATCTACTTTCTCTCCAGGCAGCAAAATCAAGACTTCAAGAAGACAGGCCTCCTGAGAGAGGCGCTTCGGCGGAGCTCACCTGGCTGGCCGGCGTCTGCCCCACCACGGCCTCATATGGTGGGGGCAGTTCGGAGGGGTACAGGGTCCCGGGACTATTGATAGGCATGCCATAGATGGTACTGAACGGGGAGTGAGGGAAGTCCAGGTGCAGGCCCCTGGGGAGCAGAAGTCATGCAGAAACACAGGTGAGCGGGATGGCTGGAGCTCTCTGCCACATTCAGGCAGGTGCCACGAGTCTGACATTCCCCTGGCCGCACCAAGGCTTTGAACAAGCCGCTTTCAGCTTTGAATACATTCACCATTTCTCCTGCTTTGGTGCAGGAGCTTGAAGAGACCAGCGGCAAAAAAAAAAACTTCTTGAGTAATGTGCCACCCCTGATGTAGCTGATCAACCTGCACTTGTAGACGCAGGTCTGCACGGTGAAGAGGAATATTTCTGATGGATTATCTGGAACTGAGGTGCCAACTTTGTATTACTTTTACAGTGACTGCGTTGCAGTTGGTGCTGAAAGAAAAAAAGTACAGTCCTCCCTAGAGATCTATTCGTCAATATACAATTCATAATGCTGAAAAGTCCATGTGTAGAATAAAAAATCTCAGTGAAGCTGCGACATCTGTTCTACTACAGTATATGAAAGTCGTGCACATTCATGAAACTCAGAAAAGCATTAAAGAGCTTTTTATAGGCTAGCTCACCAGACCCTAATGCTGCAGGCTGAGAGCAGCATTTTTTTCTCAAGGCCATTTGATTGATCTATCAAAGAGCAGTAGCTGGCTTGAAATAAGCTTCTTTCCTACAAGCTTACCACCAAATATAAAAACAATATCTCATTTGAATTTTTTTTTAAATTCAGAATTGCCAATTATTTTTGATATATGCACTTGATCTGGAATCGTTAATTATGTACTTTTCACACCTGTGTAATTCTGTCTTGGCTGGCAGCTGCAAACTTCGCATCCGCACACAGGGAGAATGAGGAGGTGTGGCCAGACTCCTCTGACCCGCCCACCTTCACACCAATCATCTTTTAACACATCCCAGGCAGCACAGCTCTGTACTGGAGGTTCAGTGCCAGCTGGAGGAGAGACGCATCACTCTCTGACAGTATTACAGCAGCAGGGAGGCCGCGGGGGGCATTGTGTCAACAGAAAAGCTCTGGCCTTCTACTGTAATTCCAGCTTACATTCCAAGCCACATCCTTGGGAACACCAGCCACACACAGGCAGAGTTTATAGCATTTCATTTGTGCTCAGACAAGTGCCTTTACTAGTTGAGCCACTCTGGAAGTTATTTTAGCCTTTAGCAGTTACATACTGTATACTTTAGGACAAGCAAAAAGCTTATTATGTTTTATTCGAGATATACTGGGGTGGCATCCCGATGCTGCCTTGTTTAACGACTTTTAAGGGTTAATTTATATTATTGGAGACAGCAGTTTGAATTTTTATGACTAAACTGCAAAATGAACTGCAAAGTACGCATAAACTGTGCTGATGTTCCCAATAACAGCACTTTAAAACGAGACAATCCCAGAAGGCTATTGTCTATGAGACTGCTGCTTTGCTTTCAAATTTCTATATTTCTATATCAGGATTACAGTATATAGCTTTGCATATAAAAGAAATGACAATAAATTAAGAGGTTACAAAGATTTTACCCTTGTACCCTTGTATTTATAGACCTATATACAAGGTATCAGAACATGTAAAAATGTCATCAGAGTGTTAAATCAGCAAAAACGTTATTCAGAATTTTAGTGGCTGTTTCATAGTAGCAGATTGAAATCAATATGTAATTTACACAAGACTGGGATATTTTTACAGTTTATACCATGCAATAGATAAAGTGCATTATTATACAGTATCTGACATACCTGTGTGCAGCTTCAATCATTTAAGGACCTATCAGTTTTCACCTCACTATAGCATCTCAGTTTCTTATGAGAGGATCTAATATTAACGTGAGCAATGGGATTGTGCATTCTGTACATTTTAATGCCAAAATACATTTTAGTGACTCAATAAAAGGAAAATAATACTTACTGTTTTAAGACAAAAATAAATTCAAAGCTTCCACCTGCCCACTATATCCCCAGTACTTTCCAACAGGTAAACAAGACATTGCCCTTCTTCTTTGTGTCCCTTGACCGAACCTGATCCCACAGCACAAAAACAGAAATCAGACTCCCATTGCAGAGCAGTGTGATCCATGCCAGCTTTCACAGGCTGAAGACTCAAGAAAACATGACAGAGATTAAGGCACAACACAACCGGTCATAAGAGTTTTTAAAAGACAAAAGGCCTGATGTTTTCTGTACATCAGCCTATGTATTCTGCAGATAGTAAGGACCTGAACAGGATCAAACTCCTCTGCAATGCGATTAGTCTCCCATAAGCCTTTGGATGTGTGTGCTGGAATTACCTCTGCGATTCCACCACTGGGGTACAGGTGTACTCAGGAGGGTAGTAGGGAGGTGGTGGGATTGGGGGAATAAACTCATCGAAATCCAAAGCCTGGTGCAATATGGTGCCATGAGGGGTCATACAGTCTGGGTTCATAGACCGGGATCTGTGAGGAATAAACTAAAAGAAACAAAACAAAAACAACAAGAATCAAAGGATGCTCAACACTGCAGGAGGGACTGAGCATTGATTACAGACTGAAAGAAGTGCCCAGATGAATATAAGAAGTACAGTACTGTTAAGTAACCGAGGCTTTCAAAACAGAACTCCTGTCTAAGCCAAAGGAAAATGGAAAATGAAGTGCAAAAACAAAACAGAAAAGCAGTTGAGCATATGGGAACCGCTGCATTCTGAGAAAAAAGAGTCTAAGCTATGTAGATGCCAATAACAGCACAGGTTTGATTTAAAGCAGGTTTCTGAAAGCCTGCACAGGCCACTGGCCTCACAATCGCCTTCCTGGACCCATCTGGCCATGGGGGGGAAGGAGAGGTAACAGACAGGTGAGCTCAGTTTCAGGGGCCGAGGGACAAGGTCCAGAGTTTCCTTTGGTTCCTTTTCTCATCAAGTGATTTCTTTCACGTCACCTGGGCAGAAAGCCCGAGTTCCTGCTTGAAATCAGGCAGACACCTGCACTGCAGCACCGGACACCTGGCACTGTTATTCACCACTGTCTTCCTTGTCAGTTGAAGACATTTTTAATCTTCCCATCGTCTCGTTGTTGCTCTAAAACCACCTTCTTCACCCTGCGACTTCCTTTCAGATTCAGCTGGCAGGCTCAGATCAGAGGTGATCTTAGACCATCAAGACCATGAGCCAACAAATGTTTTCTCCATTCTGAGTCATATCAGGTTAACAGTCCTAACTAACTAACAGCATCAGAATTGTGTGTTTAAAAAAGTTCTGGCTCTCAGGCAGCAGTATATTTAGTCCACTCGGCTCTAATTTTATTATATCCTCGTTCTCCACTATTCGACTCTTGGAGTGCATTTGTCTTTGCGAAAAATCCGCTGTAAAACCGAATGATTGGTCGGCTGCAGCCAGTTTTGTGCCGATTCAATAGCTCGTGATGAGAACTGTGCCTCAGCTCTGCAGCAAACAAAACCCTCCAGAAAGAGACTGTAACATCTGAAATAACTGCCTTGAAAGCAGCGCTGTGACACTACTGACTTTTAACAGGGTTGGTGAGGAATCGATCATCATGAAAAGAAAAAAAGAAACTGAGGTTTTCTCCCTTTGATTCTTCTCGTGGTTTCTATATTTTATTTCTGCAGGAAGTGCAAATTTCAGATAACAAGAATCCCATATACTGTATATATCCCACTAGTTTCACCCTGCGATTTTTAAACAAAAGAGAAGTGGCAATAGCAAATGAAATTTGAAAATGGTTGTATCTGTCACTGATGGTTTTCAAGTGGCTCTAGTGTTTTGGAAATCACTCACGATTGCTGGTCATGGCGCACACACTGCCAGAAGGTAACAAATTTCCTTCTACTCTTTCAAGCTGCTGCAACATGCACTGCTAATATCATTCGGCTAAATCAATCACTGGGCTTGCCCTTTAGAGCTCCCATTTACGTGTGATAGAATTTATGATGTAAGTCATAAATGTAAAAGGGCTACTGGTATACAACATTAAAATTTAATGCTCCTGTAAGTTTATTACCCTCAAATCAGAAGGTCTTGCTGGTGAAATACTCTGGAGACATTAAAATGTCACGAATCAGATCTGAGCCACCTGCATTTTTAATGGGAATCGTGCAGGAGCTACCTCAAGCTGTCACCCGTCACTAGGCCTGGAGTACAAGTCAATCTTTTAGTTATAAAACCTTGGAAGTGAAGGGCAAAGAGTCAAAAATTTCATTTAGCAAAATTAATTTCCCTCACTATTGGAGGGATGCAGTCAGGTTTGGGCACAGAAATGGCGGCGCTCGGGATAGCAGCTGAAAATAAAGGCATAAAGTGATTTGCTTTTAGAAATAAAATACCTTTGCATTTTACAGACCTTGAAGAAACCATAATAAAGCCTATTGAGAGACTGAATAAAAAAACACATTATGGTATTTCTTTAAAGCTATTTCTAAGATATATAGACTAAGAATACTTCCAGTAAGAATCCCGTGTAAGAATCTTTGGGAAGCTCTCCATCCAGCCCAGGATGGGTCCAGGTTGAACAGGTGACTGCATATCGGAAGGAAAGCTCTTCCACAGACCAAGACCGTTTTGTTTTTCTAAACACATTTGCGCTCACCATGTGCAGGACATCGGTGGAGACCATCTGCATGCAGCACATTGCAGTGGCCAGGGCACAGACGATGGTGGAGATGACATTCAGGGCACAGACACTGAACAGCAGCTCCTGGGAGGAAACCAAGATCACAGTGTTAGAAGCTATGCATGTTGAATAAAACAACTGGCAGTGAGATAAAATGTGGGCACAACTCATCACCCTGGCCCATCAAATAGCCTTCGCTGTCGAACAAGGCGCTGCTCTGTACGCCATACTTGTGGCAGTAGTGGCGAAAATGGAGTGGTAAGAACAAAGTGATAGGCTACTGTATATCACCTTGCGTGCCTTGTAACAAGCGCTATAAATCAAGGTGTTAGCCTCCTGGCTGGGCTATGGAAATAGAATTAAATGTATATATTGTAAATCATATTCTGACAATGAAGAGAAAAAACAAAAACCTTCAGCCATCTTTCCTGCCTTTTCAAGCACAACAGCGCATGCAAACATTTACTTTCTTTCACAGTAGTCCGATACAACCTTAAAAGGTTAATTAAACAACCAAAATCAGCCTCACTCTAAATGGACAGTTGTTTCTTGTCAGGGCACTTGGACAATTTTACAATGAAAGACAAATACAGTATCTAGCTAAGAGAGGTCTTTCCAATGTTTGTGAACGCTTCGTTGGAAACTGAATTGAGCCATTGGACTCCAGGCAGCCTTCTTTGTACTTCCTGTTTAGAACTCCAAGCTGGGCTTGCTTGCAACGTAATGTGGGAAGGAAACAATATGAAAATCCAGCTGGGAATAGTGTGCATAGTTGTTCCAGCAATAAAACATACTTAAAGCCGGCAGCTATTCCCATGATTACTTTAAAATACCAGTCAGCTGCTTCACAGATTGCATATCACTCTAGCAAAAAAATCTTTTAAAGAAAAGACCTCCATACTTCAGAAAAAAAGTCCTGTTTTGAATTGTTTATGGTTTTTTATGCTCAATAAAGCACTGTGGGTTCATACCAATCTTCTTTCACACAATCATCACATTAAAAACCACACAATCATATTTTCCACGAGTGTTATCATGCCATTAACTGTATTTGCTCTACAGGTCAATAAAGAAATTGTTACTAACACAACTTCTATTGATTGAAGATAAAAGTCATTTTTTCCCATCTTGTTCTGTTCATTTAACAGTAAGATTAATTTCATAAGGGAGTGTTACTTGCAGTTGTCCAATAAGCACAGTTTTATTAATGTATTTTGTTTGATCATCAGCAGAAAAATTCTTAGCAGAATTGTCCATTTCTGCCAGTGACAGTATGAATAAGGGGTAAGAGAAACAAAACAGTTTCATGCGTCCATGGGCTCAGGCATAACAGAAATGCCTTGTTTTCTCCAAAGCGTTTCAACAGCATCCAATGGGTACAGGCAAACAACCCTGAATATCACACTGAAGTGAAATAAGATGGTTTAGCAGCAAAGACACAAGGACAGCATTCTCTCTCAGTGCAGTGCGTAGCTAACAAACCCCAGCGTGCCCCTGGCACGACTGGCACAGAAGCTTGTGCAGCACACGGCACAAAGCTGTTACATGAGTGCTGTTGACATGAGAAGCCATATACACAACAGGCTCAGTGCATAACCCCAGATCCAGCCAGCTCCAGTCTGGGGTCCCAGATGGGCCCTTCTCTACCCGCAAGCCAAACGCACAGGGAGAGCCGGAGAGCCAAAGCCTGAGATGGACACCCACGGCTGCAAACTAGCGTGTGGTGAGGTGTTTGGCCTGCAGCCCGGATCAAACCCAAACAGCTGGGTTTCCCACACTCTTCCAGCAGGGGACGATCTGGGGGTCTCGTGCACAAGCACAGTCCAGCTGTATACTTTAAAACAGTAAGGGAGTGGCAAGTCAAACATTGTCGTTTTCTCAGCCCTGGGGTTGGCAGCAGCCCGGGGTGGCCTGTCTGGACTGTCTGCCCTGAGGGAGCCGGAGATCACTCAGGCAGCCAGTGGTCCAGGTCAGGGGCTCCCGGTCCCGGTCCTGGTCCTGGGGGAATACACACACCTGCTGGCCTTCACGGCAGCCAAGCTTCATGACCTCCCTGAAACCTCCATCGAAATAACAAAGCGCTGGATTGAAATGTCTGCGAGTTACAACTCCTAAACAGTCAGAACCATTCAAATTAGTCTCCTTGCTAAGTCAGTTAAAGGAACAGTTATGCAATTGAGAGCATGACTGGAGCTAAACTCAGCAGGTATATGTGTGTGTGGGCCTCCAGGAGCAGGGCTGCGAACAGGGTGCCTAGCATCACAGGCTGAGCCCCCATGCCCTCTGCAGCCTTGGAGAAGGTGAATGGCTCGTGCCAGGCCTCGGGGGGCACACTGCGTCCGCAAGTGAATTCGGCGTTCATATCTGATTTCATTCGCCGCACGCACCAGATGAGAGAGAGCTCCAACTGTGATGCAGATTGTTCAGCCTGACACAGAAGTCATTTTAATGACTTATTTTAAAGCCCTACTCTAACTGGCAACACTGTACTGAGAACTGATTAAAAACATCATTTATCTGCGAACGGTTCTCGCTCCAAATCAAGATTCAGGGCCATTGCTATAAAACCAACATACAGTACAAACTCTATCAAGGGGCCAATCAGAAATTCCTTTTTCTTTGTTCTAGCCATCTCCACTGCACAACTAGAGATCAAGAAAACCTGTTCCACAACTGGTGCAGGCAGAGAGAACACACAAGGTGCTAAGAATTACTCGACATGACTTCTCAGCTAGACAGTAATAATAGTCTCCCCACCACAGAAGAAAAAATACTTTTTCCCTCTGCAGTCACAAGTGCTTTAAATTACAAAACCTACACCACAGTTCAAGAAAAAGACATGCTCAAATCCACTCATGCCAAGCAAAAACAGTATTATGACTAAAAGCACTGTATTGTTTAAATCTCATCAATAATATTTAAGAAAAACAATGTCTATAAAAGCAGTATGCTGGAGTACAGACGTGTGCAGATAAGTCTGACCACTAAAAAACTCACTTGTCTTCTTGATTGCATTCAACTACTGCACTTTTCTTTCTTATTTCACAACAATTCAAAATGCAATAATGAGCAGTGAAACCTTTTCACCCATGAAATTACCCTTTTCTCTGCACATCTAACTTTCCATTACATTGGTTGTACATAAAATATCTAGAAATAAATACCTATCAGATGGAAAGAGAAAAACAGGCCATTATCCGAGTCCCCCTAGAAAAGTGCCTTAAAGACTAAATTTATTCAGAACCAGTCTTCTCTCTAATATTACTTATATGTAGGGGCAGAGTGTAAAAGACTATTAAAATATATATGCTGTCTGCTTATATTCTCATGCTTAGTGTTGTGAGGAGCGGGCGGTCTCACTCTCGGTCAGAGCAGTGTGAGTTTGCAGAGACACAGTGGCGCGCACTGACGGCAGTATTGACACAAGAGCCTTCCAGTCAGCTCCCAGCTCCTCCTGCAGCTGTGCAGGACAGACGCCCGGCCTCACTGCGTGATCTTCAACCTCTACTAAGAGTCACGAGCCTCTAAAACCCAGACTGGGGCTGTCTCCTTCATAAGCAGAATTTATTATGCTTTTTTTTTTCTATAAGCACTAACATTAAGACTCATTGTTCATCCAGCCATCCAGTTTCAATGCACTTTATCCAGTTCACGTTCATGAGAGAGCCAGAGCCGATCCTAGCAAGGCAGGATACACCATGGATGGGACGCCAGTGCATCGCTGGACACACGCGCACAGAGAGGTAGCTTCTTCTGTTGTATATACTGTAAAATAATATGCTTTAAGATCATGAAATAATTGTGCGTTGAGACCTGGGTGGCAGACTGGCGTGGTTGTTAACATGGCTGGGGCCCTTGGTTGCTATCTCAGATCCGGACCTGGTGTGTTGTCTATGTGGAGTTTTCTCCATGTTTGCATGGAGTGGTAGGGCAATTCGTTTATGGGAAAACTGACCCTGGTGTTGAATGTGTGCGTGTCTCTGTCTGTGTGTCTGACCTGTGGTGAACTGCTGTTCCACCTATTGTGGACCCACCTTTATGCCTGTTGCTTGCCAGACTAGGCCCTGGCTCCCCATGACCCTGAACTGGAAGAAGCGTTTGGAAAATGGATGGATAATATTAGAAACCTAAGATAGAGTGAACAAATAGATCTGTAAGTGTTTTGTAAAAACCTTCAGTATTAAGGTCAGGACACAAATGTAGCCACGCACAAGGCCAGAAAGAAAATGCCTCAAACACATCCCAGTTCAAAGAACTGGCTCAATTGTGTGAGCAGTGAAAAGGGAATAAGACGAAATCTGCTCAAATTAAAGGTCCATAATTAATTTGTGTCATGTGGGAAATCAGATCCTTTTATCTCTTTCAGATTTTAAAATTAAGAAGCATATACAGAAACACGCAAGCTGAATCCGAGATTTTATTTCAAGTCTCCCAGGATGAAATTCGTATTTTGCGGGGCGACAAGTGTATTAAAAGCAAAGTGTTCATTTAACAAAATAAATCCCAAATGCTCTGTGGTCACAGCATCTGCAAGGCTACAGCTGCACAACTCATTTCAGAGCACTGTTTATTGCAAAATAGTGAAGTACTTAGAAATTCGCCAAAAATAAATCGAAACACTTAGAAACATAGTTCATTGGCAAAACAGTCACACATTCTGTTTTCCTTTATTTCAGCCCTTTAAAAATAAAGTAAAGAAAAGAAAGAAAACAGTTCCACTGGGAACAAATCAAACAGTTAAAAATAGATACTGGAATTTTTTTTTCCAGCATGGTTAGATTTTGTGTTTATTCACATGTCTGCAGAACCTGAGAACAGTTATGAGGCTGGTGCTTCAGAAGAGTGTGCGTAATCACTTCATACATCTATCCCGTGTAACGCTTTTTAATAAAAGACACTTCTGTACCCCGAGTCTTTCACACCAGAAAGGAATGCATTTCTGAGATAAAAAAAGGTTTGATTTGACCAAGATGACTGCTTGCAAAACTGCTATAGCATACAGTATGATCCCTCAGTTAAGGCACAAATCTGACAAAATGGATTCTGTCACTAACTGCTAATTGTTTGTTTTTTTAAAAAGGCAT